GGGAGGGAGGTCCTGTCTACTGGACAACAGGGGGAGGGAGGTCCGGTCTACTGGACAACGGGAAGGGAGGGAGGTCCTGTCTACTGGACAACTTGGGGAGGGAGGTGGTCAAAGTTCATCATAACCAACACGACATGTATCACAGGGATGGTCAAAGTTCATCCAACCGACAAGCCATCTAGTACAGGGGTGGTAAAATAATGTTTAATAAAAAGTATTGTTTCATACTAAACTACATTTACATTAATGTTTCATACTGAACTACATTTATAGTAATGTTTCATACTATTCTAGATTTACAGTAATGTTTCACACTATTCTAGATTGACAGTTATGTTTCATACTAAGCTAGATTTTCTGTCATGTTTCATAGTAACCTAGATTTACAGTAATGTTTCAAACTAAACTAGATTTACAGTAAAGTTTCATACAAAACTAGATTTACAGTAATATTTCATACTAAACTAGATTTACAGTGATGTTTCATGCCAAACTAGATTTACAGTAATGTTTCATGCTAAACTAGATTGACAGTAATGTTTCATGCCAAACTAGATTTACAGTAATGTTTCATGCTAAACTAGATTTAAGGTAATGTTTCATGCTAAACTAGTTTGACAGTAACGTTTCACACAAACTAGATTTACAGTAATGTTTCACACTGAGCTAGATTTAGAGTAATGTTTCATACTAAACTAGATTGACAGTAATGTTTTATACTAAGCTAGATTTAGAGTAATGTGTCATACTAAGCTAGATTTAGAGTAATGTTTCATACTAAACTAGATTTACAGTAATGTTTCATACTAAACTAGATTTACAGTAATGTTTCATACTAAGCTAGATATACAGTAATGTTTTATACTAAGCTAGATTTACAGTAATGTTTTATACTAAGCTAGATATACAGTAATGTTTCATACTAAGCTAGATACACAGTAATGTTTTATACTAAGCTAGATACACAGTAATGTTTCATACTAAGCTAGATATACAGTAATGTTTCATACTAAGCTAGATATACAGTAATGTTTCATACTAAGCTAGATATACAGTAATGTTTCATACTAAGCTAGATACACAGTAATGTTTCATACCAAGCTAGATATACAGTAATGTTTCATACTAAGCTAGATATACAGTAATGTTTTATACTAAGCTAGATTTACAGTAATGTTTTATACTAAGCAAGATATACAGTAATGTTTTATACTAAGCTAGATATACAGTAATGTTTCATACTAAGCTAGATATACAGTAATGTTTCATACTAAACTAGATTTACAGTAATGTTTCATACTAAGCTAGATATACAGTAATGTTTCATACTAAGCTAGATACACAGTAATGTTTTATACTAAGCTAGATACACAGTAATGTTTCATACTAAGCTAGATATACAGTAATGTTTCATACTAAGCTAGATATACAGTAATGTTTCATACTAAGCTAGATATACAGTAATGTTTCATACTAAACTAGATTTACAGTAATGTTTCATACTAAGCTAGATATACAGTAATGTTTCATACTAAGCTAGATTTACGATAATGTTTCATACTAAGCTAGATATACAGTAATGTTTCATACTAAGCTAGATATACAGTAATGTTTCATACTAAGCTAGATATACAGTAATGTTTCATACTAAACTAGATTTACAGTAATGTTTCATACTAAGCTAGATTTACAGTAATGTTTCATACTAAGCTAGATATACAGTAATGTTTCATACTAAACTAGATTTACAGTGGTGTTTCATACTAAGCTAGATATACAGTAATGTTTCATGCTAAGCTAGATATACAGTAGTGTTTCATACTAAACTAGATTGACAGTAATGTTTCATACTAAGCTAGATATACAGTGGTGTTCCCTGGAGTATATACGAATGCTTCAGCCACCTCGGTGAGGCCCGGCGGACCATGCACCCAGTCAGTACACAGCGGTACATCCTGGTGCTGTCGGCGAGGAGCGTCACTATATCAGGGTGCACGGGGTAAACTATATTGAATTAGCTGATGTTCAGAAACACGGGAACCACTCCGCTCACTGTTGCCATTGTTGAAAAAGACACTTTAGGCCTGCGGTGAATTTACGATATTCACACGTGTGAGGAGACAACGTGTGGACTACTCTCCGACATACGATGATCACTGGAAGAACAGTCGTGTATATTGAAAGACAACATCATTGTACTCATAGCTCTACGTTAATAATAAATGTGATTAACTGGACTAGTAGGTTTGTTTTTTTATAAACTGACCAATCTACTGACTAAACAACATAGCAACTATCAAGACCTGGAAACTTGATGCCATTTCAATCAGGTAAAGTCCTTTCTCCAAAACGAAAGGAAGTTAGTATTAGATACTTGTACTGAAGTATGATTTCTGAGTGTTCCTGCGCAAAGTTTAGGTTAAGTAGTTTACCTACCATTGTCACTTGTATGTTTTGATAAGCGCACGTGACAGCTGAGTGAGTGACCGTCCTCCACCTCCCACCCCCCTCCTCAGCGCGGGATGCTGTCAGTCGTGTTTCCTCGGAAGTTGTCAGTCCAGCTTTAAACACAAGCAATTTGTTTTTCCTCACAGGGGGAACAGATAGTTGTATTCCGAAAAATTTATCGATATTTTGTGTTTAGAATTTCAAGGACAGTTAATATTTTTCAGATGGAATAACACATTTTTCGTCAATTCAGTGGCAGATTATTTCTTAACAACCCTGAAGATAACATGATCCCAAACAGGCTACGATGTGTGCAACGGTAGCTGCTTTTAAATTAATATGTTTGAAGTTGATACAGATAAACTATAAACACCACACGTTGTTGAGAGATAAATATCGGACATCCTGATTCTCGTGACGGACATTCCCCGTGTTAGCATGACGGCGTATAATCATTTTAATTTCACACCGCAACAATGCGATTTATTTTACTGGAGATTCTTATCTCATAAGCGCGGATTTTTTTAATGGGAATATTTATTTTCTTTGTAAAAATTAAAATTTCATGAACGTTATTAACATGTCCTCAACAGGTGGGATGTCTATGATTCTATATTGTTGTTTCAAGTGATGTATTTATTCTGTTTCGTTCAATTGATGTCACATTGCTGAAGTGGTCGCCGAGGGGTCATTATATCACCTCAAAATATATTTTAAAATAAATGCAGAATAGTGTAAGGATATCCGGAAGAAGAAATGATTATTTCGTCACGGATTAGGTTTAATTTTATTAATAGTGACATAAAAGAATTAAGAAAGGCAGACACACCTAATTGCTAAGTACATATGTATACCCGGGGTGATACCCCGGGCAAGCAGGACGCACCCTGGCGAGGCGTAGAACCTCAGCATTAGAGACATTTAGTGCCTTGATTTCAGGATATTCATCTTCATTTTGTACCCCGGAATCAACGCTACCCCACTGAGCTCGGACAACTGACAGCGGACAATTCTACATTGTGTATACACCTGTGTGCGCGCATCTTCAAGTGAGACGTTAAGGGTTGAAAGCCTAGGATATGTTAAACAGGGGACCACTCCTAGCTGGTATTTTTATTGTCATCATTCTTTTCGACACCATCGTAAAAGTAGTAACGCTTGTACTACTATGAAGATTAAAGTGAAATCTTTATTTTATCATATCCAGAATTAACAGAAAAACTCCAAGCTTTTATGTTAGGATTAAGTAGGTTGTATTTTTATTTTCGTTTTGTAAATATTAAAAAGATTGAAACGAAATAATATATGCAGCATAAAAAAGAAGAGAAAATTATTCCCGACAACGGAAAAGAAATACATGTACAAGCAATTAGAGACACATATCCAAAATATATAGTATTCCAAAGATTAATATAACCATATTTAATTCTAGAGGTAAATGTATACAAGTTTCCCTTCACGTGAACAATCCCAATTCTACTTGTAGCTTCACCCTTGGAAAACAGTGTTACCACAATAAATATTGTAGCCTGATTGTTGTTTTGTCAGATACGCGATGTGCCAGCGTCGTGATCCGGCAGACGGACACACTTCACCATCAGGCGAGGATTCTGGACGAGGGGTGGGGCGCCCGCGCGCGCGCGTGTGTGTGTGTGCATAGGGCGGGGGAGGTGGTGGGGGGACTATATTTTGATATTACCAAGTCTTAATGAACGTTTCACATATTATCAATCCTTACAGCTAGTGTCCTTACATTTCGTTTTACTGTAGGTTGCTTGATGATTTTTTTCACGTGGGTTTCAAGACATTTATGTTTCTTGAAATATAGAAACAATATGTAATTTTACCACATAAAATATAAACAGAAAGAAAGAAAACTTAAATTCGATAATTATACTTATTTATTCCTTTGTCTAAAATGTTTTTTTCTAATATTTGAAATTGATGTAAGCGAGAATCGAGTCCCACCTCCCTCTGAGTGGCGCTATTGAACTGTCCACGCAACGCAGCCGCCCCACCTCACACACAAGCTGCCAATACTGGCACCGAGAACTTCCATATTCTCTGCACGTGTTTTCTCAGCCCGGGGGTGGGGTGCGCGTGCTAGGGGTAGAGTCAACACGTCACTCGGAGATGCAGCTTTACCTCCCTCCATCGTAGATTCCTGGAACATATATTGCCATCCATAAAATCTGAAAAAGGTGACGAAAATAGTAACTTTACGAAATAGTTTTGAGAACATTGTCCCAAGTTGGATACTTCTCGTGTATGTAGTTTATAGGCGGGGGTCAAATTACAACGCCGGTTGTGGTCCCCAGGGTTAAAATTTGAATGTTGCTGTGAAGGGGCGGATCCTCGTTAGCTAGCGTCGTCAGAACATTGTGTGTGTGGCTGGGGGCAGTCCCGTCAAGGCAGCTGTTAGCGGGACGGGTGTGATTGGATCAGATCCCCAGGGGGTTGAGATGCGACTCAAAGACGAGCCCCGCCCCCTCTTTTGACTGGCGAAGTAGCAGGCTCTTTGCCCCGACCGATCCTTATATAGGTAGCGAGAAGTGGCAAGGTGAGTCGAGTGATCGCAGCCCACACAGATACTTCGCCACAAGGTTTAACACTGCCACCCCTCTGTCAGCTTTGCCTGGGTGTACTACAAGGACTTATACCGTCATCCGACTGTTTGCTGTGCCTGGGTGTACTACAAGGACTTATACCGTCACCCCACTGTCGCCAGAACCACACTCTGCCTGGACATACTCTTGTGTAGAGACCTGTGCCATCATGGAGAGTAAGGAAATGTACCCTAGCAGTGACAATGAACACATTTCTGTGGACTGTGATTCCGATTTCAGCGACGACGCGAGCGACGTTTCGTCTGACCGCTTCCTTCTGAGGGCCAAGAGGAAGGGTCAGCTCGCCAGTAAGTGCCTCAGTGAGAATGAGCTGCAGGATCTCAGACTCAAGATCAACAGCCGGGAAAGGAAGCGCATGCATGATCTCAACTCCGCGTTGGACGGCTTGAGGGAGGTGATGCCCTATGCCCATGGCCCGTCGGTAAGGAAGCTGTCTAAAATCGCCACACTCCTTCTCGCCAAGAACTACATCCTGATGCTGAGCAGCTCCCTAGAGGAGATGAAGAAGCTCGTCAGCGACATCTACCAGAGTCACCATCACACACGTGCCACCGCCCCCGCCCCGCACGTGCACACACAACTCCCCGTCATGCCGCCCCTGCCCCCGCTCCCCCAGACCATCGCCGGCCTGTCGTCACCGGAACTTCCTCGTGTTTCGACAGTCACAGTCAAAGATCCGTCTCATGCAATCACATCCTCATCCCTCGCGCACGACCGCTCCCTGATGTACGGACGCTGGCCGGCCCCTGCCTGCGCGTGCAGTCAGTGCTCGGCGGAATCTGTGCGGGCGCCCTTCACAGCCTTCGTCCATAAATACCCAAGTCATCTCTCAGCTGCCAACACGTTCAGGAAATAAACAACACTGTGTGTACATGTGTATATAGATGTGTGTATATATTTATGTAAAATAATCTCGGAAGTTTGCCGTGAAACAGACTTACGTCTTGAGGTTCCGTCAGTAGGCCGACTTGTGTCCCCCAACAAATTCCCCGCAATCACAGCGATGTGACACGTGTGCCATGAGCTAATGTCAAACGCTGAACATTGAACGATTTCCTGTGAAGACCCAGGTCCGCCAGGGCGACTGTCTCCGCCTACAGTATGTATTGATGATATTTTTGTATGAACTGATTCGCCATATGTTTGAGTGCTGGTGTAGGGTGAATCTACACATTGTGCCTTTGAGCTTTATTGTTTGTGATAAAAGACCGGAATATATTGAAATGAAATAAATCTAAATCATGTTAAATGATTTTTAAAGAAACCAAAGCCTTTGTCTTGTATAACATGTTTCCATGCCCATCTTGGCGCTGTCTTTTTTACGCTTCAATATAACCTTTTTCAGTTTTGTTGAAAATCCACAAATAAGACTGCTTTTCCTTTTTTTCTGTTTTTAGTGGTAGAATACTTTTCAACGTAATACATTTAAGAGAACTCGGAAACACTTACAATCACAAACAATGGCAGAGATGGGTCAGGTTATCAAGGGATGCGCGAGATGAACCATCCCCGAACTGCAGCAATAGACTGACAGGAAATAAGCAAAATGGGGCCTGCATAAAAATGATTAAGTGACAAATATATGACAAAGGATGAGTTAACCTCGGTGATGCCAGCGGCTGCACCCCATCTGGTGATCGCAGGGAGCAGCATGGTTTACTGTTTGTCTGGATATAATGGATACATTTTCCAAAGAAATACAAACGACATTTAAAGTTTATTTGCCGGCGTACAACAAACGCGGGACCCCGAGATGCGTTGTGCAGTCACACTACCGACAGTGTCCGACGGAAACAATTTAAAAGACAGAATATCATCGCCGAAGGTGTATTAACTCAACGTACTTGCAATGCATTAACCCAAGAATATCAGCTGCAGAGATTTATTAAATCAACGTAATTGTAGCAAATAAACCCCCAAATATCGTGACCAGAAAAGTACATGCTTATAGAGTTTTCTCTCGAGTTACAATTGTAGTGTCCAGCTGCATCAAAGTCTTATCTACATCCACATCAACGTGTCCCGACGGGGATGCTGATGGTGATGATGATGATGATGATGATAACGATGATGACGATGATGATGCTGTCAGTTACTAAATAACACACAGGAAGATGTAGCTGCGGCAGTTATTTCTTTCCTTCTTTAAGGGGAAAAGAAAGAAATCTTTGAAAGTGGAAATATCTATTGTTTGCCAAAATACATGATTACGTCCAACACTTGACGTAGAAATTACAGATATGTATTTCAAGCGAAGTTGAACCGTAGTATTCAAAAGAATGTTCCTTTCTTATCGATACACTCGACAGCGCTACGATATTGCATTTTTTTATGAGTACAATTCAAAATGAAAACGTTTACAGAATATTCGGCACGTCTGTACGTCCCTCTGTGCCCTCTCCTCGCCACGCTGTGGAGCAGACACGTGGAAGACAATGGGGCGAAGTCAGTGTTTAAATATTTTTCAGTTTGAAATGAAAAGTGAAACGAGATCAGTAAACAAGCCGAGAGACTATTTTGAATATTTGTTCCTTGAAAACTTAATTACAGCATATGACTCCAGATATGACGAATACCGCAGCCAAAAGGAGTACCCCGTGATCTGTGTAACAATGCGCATAATACAAACACAACGAACGACTGAGTAACGATATAGATATAGCTGAGTAACGATGTGGACAATACCAAAATTGTTAAATGATTTACAATTCTAACTTTTCAGGTGTGGTGAAAGAATACAGGGAAGTTATATTAATAATTTTATCAGTACTTTCAACTTAAATGCATCTGTATGAGCTCTGACTCTTGTCTGTAACTGCTCAGCAATAATAATAAGAAGAAGAACTTTCTGTCCCTTTTGACAGTAATGTGATTAACAAGATTGAGGAAAAACATGGCAAATATGCAGACCTCGCTTTCAAAATGTCACACTTGCATCCCAAGTACCAAGTTGTCCGACTCCCCATTGTTCTCGGTGCCTTAGGTTTGGTACCTCCCAATCGGTTGACTGACATCGGGAGAGTACCCGGGTTTGCTTTAATAATAATAATAATAATAATATTAATAATCATAATAGTAATAATAATAATAATAATAATGCACTTCCACGCAACTGCGCCTAGGTTAAGAAATAGTCGACATGAATAATAATATTTTTACGTATGGAAGGTAGTTGAATAGCAAAAATATTTTATACACGATTATGTACAATGTGTGTTCATGATTTTGTAGAATATTATTGTCCATATAGTCGCTGAGAAGTAAGTTGGTGACGATAGACTAGAGAAAGGTATCCGAACAACGATGGAGGTTTAGTTTCGAGGACCTCTCATCTTGTCAACTTGCTTTCAGTACTCAGTACAGGGAATTTTCTTATTCATAAATGGAGAAGTTTATTAGAATGCAACTTTATGATTATGTTGCACAAATAGAAATATTAACGTCAACTTCTTAAATTATTGTCAGCGTTGTGTTCATGTGTGTTGTGTGCAAATTAATAACAGAATTAATAACACCTGACGAAACTTTAGGACTGATTACGCTAGGATATAAACACATGTACAGGTGGGTCACAGTCAGAAGTGCATGTACTTCGCAATCATGGGCACAGGTGGGCGAGGTGACACAAGACTTGTTGCAGGTGTATAAGGTGATTGGGAGACCATCTAGCTCACCCCACGTGAGGTCACACGCCCGGACAGGGAGACTGACCAACACGATGGCCACAGGCGAGGATTTACTCTAGTTGTGACAATATGTGTTAACAAATCAACGACTCCGCAGGTAGACACACCTGAACACACCTGTATTCTCACCTGAACGTCCCCCACACATCACCTGTCATTAAAACCACATGCACTATATGTCATGGATATTCTCACAACATAAATCGGATTGTTTCATATATATTTTTGTTCTTATCAGCCTCGTTAACGCACCATGTCACTTCCTCCCCCTCGACGTTCCCCACTGCGGTGCTGGAGGCTGCTCGAGCCATCACCTAACACGGTACATCTTACTAGTAACCGAAAAAGTGCATTGATTCGATTTGCAAAACGTAAAACTAATAGGTTTCATCAGAATATGACATTATTTATAATGTATAAAACTTGACATTTTTTATTGCAACATGTTTTTCATTATAAGATTACTAGATCAAAAGACAGCATAGAATAACTATTGGTTGATGTTACACTGATCTAATGGAAAGAAATATGTCGTTTTCCGCTCAAGTACACGAGCTCAGCGGTCATACACACATATAGGATTTATATTTTTTTACGTATGCTACACGGTGATAATAATGTGTTTTGTTTCCTTCTTCGTGATTTCAAGACCACAATATGAAGGATTATGATCGTCAGCACTTTCTCCCACACGCTGCCTCGCCCCGTTGCCGCTTTCACTCCGATGTCTGTATTTCGCCATTCGTGTATAAGATTATAATTACTTCATTTAAAATAAAGCAGGCAGAAATATTTCATTTATTCGGGTCTGGTTATTTCCCGGTTTCGCACGTGATGATGGCCTGCATGGTTTACTGGGCGCAACATACGGTGCTATACGCTTACACCTTGTGAATAGAAGAAAAAGTATAACTTCTTGTCCTTGTGGACGCATGGACGTGTGACTGTTTGAATCATTAAACTTCTCTAAATTGTAGATTGCATGTCATATATAACTGACATTTGTCTAGTGAGTATTACACGCAGACGTCAGGATGTCCCTGTGTGACTCTCTTCAGCTGGATATCCGAATCCCCATCTATGACAGGCTTATACAGTTTCTCCGCATACCAAATAATATAACATAAACAAAGCTAGGATATCGAGTAATGCGTGCTGCGGGCCGTCAGTCTCAGACTCCCATGCCTTGTACCCCAAAAATGTATTACTCCAAAACAGATAATTTCAGGTAGATCTCTGGTGAGTCAAACCTATGTTACTTTTGATTATTACAGCAACGTAGCCATATGTTCGGGGTATGAAGATAGTTGAGGGTTGTCATCGTCCAGGCAGCCAGCACGTGAAGCGCCTACTGCAGTAGCCTGTGTTGTCCTGCTCGGGCGTTGATCACGTCGTGGTTAGTGCTCTCATACCCTGGGTCGAATTTGCGTCAACATTATTTTAACCGTACTATTTCATCAAAGAAGAAAGGAAATTGCAACAGCAGTTGGATTTTTTTATTTTTAAAATTTCCGTTATCAATATTGTGGTTAAACCAGAAGGACACAGAACCGCTGAAATGTTCGTGCTGATGCAGCTCGTGGGAAGAGTTATAGCAATGCACACAAGGATACTCATTTTCAGGTTCCAATATATCAAAGAATCAAGAAAAACGTTTTTAAGCCTAAATATAAAAGTACAACAATAGAATGAACTAAAACAATTCAACTCAAGAGAATTGACTTTATTAAAACAATTCACGGGTTGAATTAGATAAATTCAGCCACAGAGAATGAACTTAAATATGGCAACTTAAGAGATTCAGTCCGGGTTGAACTAAAGAAAATTATCTGTAATAATTCAACCAAAGACAATTCACTTAAATAAAGCAAGTATAAAGCGAAAAGATTGGAATATCTAAACTGAAGATAGTTCACTAAAATAAAACAAGTATAAAGCGAATGAATTGGAATATCTAAACTGAAGATAGTTCACTAAAATAAAACAAGTATAACGCGAAAAGATTGGAATATCTAAACTGAAGATAGTTCACTAAAATAAAACAAGTATAAAGCGAATAAATTGGAATGTCTAAATTGAAGATAGCTGTTTACTAAAATAAAACAAGTATAAAGCGAATAAATTGGAATATCTAAACTGAAGATAGTTGTTCACTAAAATAAAACAGGTATAAAGCGAATAAATTGGAATATCTAAACTGAAGATAGTTGTTCACTAAAATAAAACAAGTATAAAGCGAATAAATTGGAATATCTAAATTGAATATGATTCACTATAATATAGCAAGTATAAAGCGAATAAAATGGAATAGCTAAACTGAAGATAGTTGTTTACTAAAATAAAACAGTTATAAAGCGAATAAATTGGAATATCTAAACTGAAGATAGCTGTTTACCAAAATAAAACAAGTATAAGCGAATAAATTGGAATAGCTAAATTGAATATGATTCACTACAATATAGCAAGTATAAAGCGAATAAATTGGAATATCTAAACTGAAGATAGTTGTTTACCAAAATAAAACAGGTATAAAGCGAATAAATTGGAATATCTAAACTGAAGATAGTTGTTTACTGAA